TCGTGCGGAGTCCATTTCACAAGTCGAGTCGCAAGTGCAGCAGCGTGACAGACGATGGACGCACCTGCCCCTTCCTTTCTCTCCTGCTCTCTCCTTCAACGCGTACAGGAGGCCCTCTCTTCAATCCGAAAGCCCGGCTCTCCCGAAGAAAACTGATCTTCCCTTCGTAGTGTCACATGAACGTGCTGGGCATGAATTCTCTTGCACTGCGCACAAGTAGCAACAGAAATATCACTCCGAGATCTGCCGATACGCGGATCATGAGCAATCAACACGAACTCAGGGAGATTGTACAAAGTGGAAGCAGGAGAACAAGCAATGGGAATCAAAATTGACACTGAAGACCAGGATTCTAGTACCAAGCTAAATCGTAGACCGTGTGGCAAAAAAGACTTCACGTCTATCAGGGTTCGATGTGCACTAGTGATCGAAGTGAGTGGACAAGATTATAGCTCTGCAAAAGTACCTGAAATCAAGGTCTCAGCAAAGATGGCGCGATGGGAAAGCAAAAGGTCATAGATTTCTCAGATGTGACGAACTCTGGGTTGTGGAAAAACTGAATCTACAGTTGTACTGGGAGACTGCGAATCTAGCTGCATCAATACAACGGGAAGACAGACACTACGATGGCTAGCACGGGGAAAAAGTATGCATCCTCTTCAATCAGATCTTCTCATTGAATCGTGTGAGCGATCAAGGCAATGACAACATTTGAACACAAAAATCGTGTTCTTTCATACTCTGTGATTGGAACATGGTGTTAGAAGGTCAGAGTAGATCTTGACTTTGTTGCGCAAGCGGAGAGGAAACGTGGGGGAGGAAACGTGGGTGAATGCGTCAGTGTGATGATATTCTCGATGACGTCACGTTGACAACTTCCATTACAACTTTCTTCTTTATTAATCCATTTATCTGGCATGTTCGATCAGTTCGAGCAAGTGGACCTATTCTGACAGCTGAGTGGCACATGCGTAGTCAGCTGTAATAAGCATGTTACGTTTTTTCTTACTTTTGACCCAGAACAGTTGTGTAGATAATTGTAAATAACTTTTAGTATCAGAAAAAACTGACAAGCTTTTTGGGATTTTACTAACTATGGTATCGAAGAACTGTGTACAGAGGATACCAGTACTCGAGGTTATCAACTGCTGGTATGATTGTTCTTCTACCCCAGCTGTGTCAAGTATGTGAATGCATGCACAGTTTGGAGGTCTTTTTTTTTGGTGAGTTTGCAAAGCCAAAATGAATGACCTTGAATACAGAGATCGCATGATGAATTCGTGCTGCTAAGATGACAGCCTGGTCACTTTAAGCATGGCCTTCACGATCTCAAAGTATCCCTCCTGCAATGGATCCAATTTTCTAATTGTAAAACATTGCATATATGAATAAGCTAAATATGATGGTTTTGTGAATGAATGATATGTTGCCAAATATTGCTTTTTTAGATAGTTGATCATACATTTCAATATTTTCGTGCATTAAATTATATTATTATAATGAATATATATTTTTCATTAATTTAAATAAAATAGTAAAATATAAATTTTCAAATAAATATTAGAGAATTGATATTTTTGACTTTTTTTATACATGAAGATTTTGGATTTAGGAATGTTAGTGAGAATGAGAGCATTTTTCAGTATGAATCCGAATAGTACATTTCTGATTGCATTGCAGAAATTTTTATTTAAAAGACAAAATAATCTTTCAAATTCAAATTATTGACTCAGAAATTTGAAGTTGCATAGTGTGAAGTTTTTTTTTTTTTTTGAAAAACACATCAATAAAGATGCTTGCAATTAGTATATCATTTATATATTCATATTTTGTATGATAGCTTAAATTTCATCATATACATTTTGTTCACTAAACGTTTTGTGCTTAAGTATTTTGATCTATAATTGATTAAAATGTTGAAAAGAAAATTGAAAAATATGAACAATTCTTGAAAAGAAATATACCTATGTTTTAAGTTTTATTTCATATTTTTATCTTATATTTAGTGTAAATAATGAAAATTTGGATTAGGATAATATCTATGGACATCAAAAATTAGTTCTCAATCAAACATATATATATATAATTAATAATTTTTTTTGTAAAAAAGTATTTCTGGATGTAAACTACATGGTAATTAATATTTTAGTCGAAATTCATTTCGAAAGAAAAATCATGATGTTTTAGAACTCAAATGATACAAACATTAAAAGTGAAATTGATATTTTTGTTTGAATTATTTGTTGTTTCTAAACATTGGGAGCAATCTTTCAAGAAACTTTTGCAAGCAAAGTTATTATTGTTAGTGGTGATGATGGTTTATTTGATTGTCAAACAAATAACGTTAGGTTATTTGTATTTCACATTATTTATGTGATTAAAAGCACATTCATATCTAAAAGTGGGGAAAGAGCATGCACCGTCTTCAATCGGATCTAGTCATTGAAAAGTGTGAGCGATCAAGGGAGCGACAATATTCTATCTCAAAAAGCCTGCTCCTCCCTACTCTGCGATTGGACAATGGTGTTAGCCAGTCAAGTAGATCTTGACTTTGTTGTGCAACCAACAGGATACACTGAATGCATTAGTGTGATGATACACTCCATGTCGTCACCTGACAACGAACATGTCAAAGTTCATCTTCTATTTTAATCTATGCAAGAAAGTGGATGATTCTGACAACTCAGTGGCACATGCGCTGTAGGCCTGGTTGACAATGCCTCTTGTGCTTTCTCTTTTCTTTAAATATCGGTACAGGAGTCTATATAACTTTACATACTTGTAGGTTCGGAACAAACTGGTAAGCTATATGGAAGTTCACTAAACATAATCTCGAATAACTTTGAACAGAGTAGAAACACAATCGAGGTTCTCCATTGCTGATATGATTTTTCTTCTAGCTCAACTGTCAAGCATGTGAGCTCATGCACAGTTCTAGTTTCTAGAGTCTCGAGTCCTCTACACCTCAAACATGAAATTGATATCGAATTTCGTCCATGCTACGAGCATCCTTGCTTGTTTATCGCGTTTTATAGAAGTTGATAGAACCAGCATGATACTTGCTGAGCTCAACGTCAAACCTCTCAAGAAACATTTTTTCTAAGTTGCTTGCAAATCAAGGGAAACTGTGCGGTATACATGACTTCAGAAATAATTCTGATGCTAAATGCTAGATAATAGTGCTTCGTCAAGATTAATCTCATCATCCAATTTAGAAGAAAATTTAACATGGTTAAGTCCATCATTGTTCTCGTTTATGATACTATTTACAACTGTGCAAACGACAATTTAGTTGATCATGTCCCTGACAAAAGCAATAGCCTCGTCCACTGAACGCTCAAGATTACTGCAATCTAACCATAATTTCTTATTACTCTGCATGGGGTAATGTGGAGTCAATGAATCACACGAGAAACTCCAACTGCAAAATCATTCTTGCTACGAATCATGTAAAGTCACATTGAGTCTAACAGATTGGTAGCAATCGTATTGTGACTATCACCACAAATGGAAAATGTCAAATTGAGATATACAACGGATGAATCAATCTTCGGGTGGCAAGCCTACAGCTTCAAGTTAGTAAAAAAGTCAAAGAGTGTCCTAAATGAGTAAAAATTCAGTGTTTTCAAACTTAATTGATGTAACAAAAATTAATAACCAAAAGTCATTAGAGCATCTTTTTTGAATAAAATCTGGAAGCTACCATAGGTTTAAAAAAATCCTAATAGGTACTCTAACCTTTGGAACATGGGGCCTTATTTCTTAGTAGGATGCTTAATTGATACGCAAGATGATTTATATTGTAAGTTTGTATGGGTTCAAGTCCTAAGGACTCTAGTGATCCGGTCTACTTGGGATTTGGTGGTGGGAAGCTATCTTGTACACATGATAGCTGTGCCAAAAAGTATCACGGTATGCTGAAAGGATTTTGACAGGACCCGGCTTGGTAGTTTTCTTTTACATTTTATTTCTAATGGTTTTGGCAAAAGCATCTTTGTTTCACCAAACATTTCTACATCTTTGATTCCAAAATGAAACTTTGCTTGGTGATCGACGTGAAAGGATTAGCCTCTTTCTTTTGGGCATATCGAAACCGCAAGTTCACCGGGATACAGTACAGTCAAAAAAAACAGCAAAGGTTAAGTGCTATTAATGTAACATGGAGAGTAAACGTGGATGAATGCGTCAGTGTGATGGTATACTCTATGATGTCACGTTGACAACTTCCATTACAACTTTCTTCTTTATTAATTCATTTATCTGGAATGTTCGATCAGTTCGAGCAAGTGGACCTATTCTGACAGCTGAGTGGCACTTGCGTAGTCAGCTGTAATCAGCATGTTACGTTTTTTCTTACTTTTGACCCACAACAGTTGTGTACATAATTGCAAACAACTTCTAGGATCAGAAAAAACTGATAAGCTTTTTGAGATTATACTAACTATGGTATCGAAGAACTGTGTACAGAGGATACCAGTACTCGACGTTATCAACTGCTGGTATGATTGTTCTTCTACCCCAACTGTCAAGTATGTGAATGCATGCACAGTTTGGAGGTCTTTAGACCACAAACGTGAAATCGTTATCGAATTTTGATCGTGCTAAGAACACTTTTGCTTGCTTATCGCTTGGTAAGGAAGAGGACAGAAACAGCATGATCTGGTAATTTGCTTAGTCCTCTGAACCTGTGAAGTCCTATTCAGAAGCTTGTACTTGCTATCCTCTGATGTTATTGACCTCCTCCCTGGTTCTGTTCTGAAGTGGGATTAATTGACCAACTACGGAAGGGTTGTTGTCAATGGTTTATTTTGGTCAAAGTATCAAATGAACAGAGATTTGCGAGCGAGAGATTCGTTCCAAAATTTGTTCAGAAGAAGGGAAGACATCCTCTGATATCAATGGTAACAACTGTTTCGACACATCATCACAAGTATTCCTCTTGCACTCTGCTGGAAGACCGAGGACTCAACATTTCGTCATCTTCACTTTTTAAGACTCAACGTGGGGAAGTGAAACTCGTGTCACATAAAGGTGACAGCTTAAAAGAGAAACTTGTAGCGCAGGGGCATGGAAAACAATGCTGTCCGCAGTTTTAAGCTCCCTCCTATAATTTTGATAATCCTAAGATGGAGCTCGTGATCTAAAACTCTGCAACCATGTAACCCTTTTAAGTTTAAGAATCAACGTGGACATCGGACGATAAATTGAATGTTGTTGACGCGTCTCCAGCACCCTGATGGGTGGGCCAACTTGACCGATGATAGAATACCTTCGCTGTAGTGAGCTGGGTGACGAGTTTGGTTTCACAGTGTCGTCAACCACAACTTCTTGAGGAACAAGACATGCCATTTCTGGTCTAGTACGTGCACTTTCGTGCAAATCCAGGTGGCCGAAATTTGCAAGAAATGAAGCTGGTTTCTACAAGTCTCATACCTCGTGCATGTAGGTAGGGTAACTGGAGTGGATGACAAACTAAGCCAATGTGTATACTATCTCTTAACCCATTGATAGCTCTTTCGAGCCTTAGCCTTTCCAGGTTTCTTCCGCTCCACAACACGAGAATCACGAGTTAACATACCAGCTGCAAGCACAGAAAGGGATGATTAGTAGCAACTTGAAAAACGTTGTTAGTTCCAATGCGATGACTGGCTCTTGCTGGAAGCAGGATGTTCGATATGGCAGATGGCTGATAACTGGCTTATATCATCTGGCTTCAGCACAACCAACTCAGAAATTCAAATCAAAAAAAATCTGAATGAGGAGGCCCATACAAGAGGGACCGTAAAATAAGAGGTTTATAGGGCATGTGAGGTTCGAGAAAATCAAGACATCGTCTGCAATGAAGTACATTGAGTTCGAATTTTCGCTACTGGAGTTTTGCATGAGCAAATGTTTGTCAAGTCTGACACTAAGCACGGTAGCTTAACTAACCGATGCAAGTGGAGACAAACCACGAGTAACTAACCTACGCGTAGAATATATGTCAGAACAGGAGGGCAGGAGAATAACCGGCACCTAATACTTGATTTACCTAAACTTTTAAATTCTATCACTGTCGAAAATTTGAAGCGAAATTGTGGACCACTTGGTAGCATACACTTTCAGAAAACTGATCGAAGTAGGTTGATTTGCATGTACTTTACAGACTAGTGATTTGAATTAGATAAATCTGATAGCCTCTTTCAATTTTCTCAACAAAAGTTGAGACCTTTTACTCCAGTGCAAGTGGGAAGCAGTAATAACCGGAAGCACCAGACGCATCTAAAACAGAGATCTGAAAGGGTGGAATAGATATATGAATTGCTTTGAAGTCCACTGCAAGAAAAGAGTCATGGGAGGGAGAAACAACCAGCAAGCAAGGAAAGAAAAGAAAAAGTTGCTTCCTCGACGACTAAGATGATACCTGATTTTAATGATGGCCGAAGCAGTGGATCAAAAAGTTGCAACGCTTTGCTAATGCCGTGTCTCAAAGCACCAGATTGCCCTGCAATACAACGGCTCGTACGTCAGATTGCCCTGCAATACAAAAACTTACTGCCTTCATGAATACTACTGACAGGACAAACAATTGTCCAGATATCCACAACTTGCAACTCGTACGGAACAAATAAATCCTTCGATACACAGGCGTTTTTGAGGCCTGAATTGGAATTGATCCTGATGCAGGCTTGCTAAAAATTGACAAGGCTGGTCAAAGAGATATGGGAGGCATATTGACCGCTCATGACATCTGTAGGAATCAATTGAAACACGATTTGCAGTATATACCTGTAATGCCGCCACCTTTGACAGTGGAGCGAATATCAAATAATCCCAAAGTTTTAGTTTGGTAAAATGGCTCCAGAAGCTGCAAGCGCTGATCAATGTCAGGGAAGTACAGATCATGAGGCAGGCCATTAATAATGATTTTCCCCTCACCCTCCTTCAACCACACCCTAGCAATACTAGCTTTCCTTCTCCCTGTGGCGTACGCACGTCCGTACTCATCCACTGTCTTCACCCGCATACTTTGCAGCTCCATCTGCTTCTGTCTCTCCAATTCTCTCCTCTTGGCCTTCTTTTCAATCTCATCGTCTTGCCCTAGAATCACATCTAGGGGTGGCAAACCCTCAATGTTCCCAAAATCCTTCAAAGCTATCAAACTGTCCAACATGTCGTCGGTAATCCCTGACTGAGCAGTCATGCTTCCAAAAGATTCTGTAGGAGGGCCCGAATCCGAGCCACCTGCGAGAAAAAAAAAATATTCCTCAGCTGATTTCAGCTGAACCTTAATTGCAAAAAATCGTCCTACCCGACAGGAAGACAGGGAAATTGAAAGATGCATAATTCAGTGACTTAAGAGATGGCCTACCAGAATAGCTATGATCGGAGGAGTAAGAGCGCCTTTCATTCCGCAACAACAGATCACCGGATCTAACTACCGGATTGAGGGCAAATCTGGACCAACCGGAGAAGAATTTCTGTAAAACAATGGGCAATCGGGAGTCGGGACTGATGCATCTGCGCACATTTTCCACACTGGTGTAGTGATCCAGAGTCGTCAACCGCCGTGTCAAGAGCCTGATCGAATTGCGGGTGGCAGAAGCCATCGCGAAAGTACGAACCCACCAAAAATGTGCAACAAATTCCTGACTTCTAATCTGCAGTGCACCACTCACACATTCATCCCCGTTCTTCCAGCTAAGATTCCAGCATTGAACCCTAAATCGTCCAACACGCCTGCTCTCCCAAACTGATACATTCAGCTCGACAGAACACGCTCGCTCGCAATCTGAGCATGCTCAAACTCCCACCACCAATCGCTTCTCCATCGATCCGAACCAGAATGAATTGCTCCGCATCGACTCCACAACCCTACGACAGAGTGCGACCACCTGCCAGTGCAGTAGCCCCCGCAGTTCCCTCTCCTCGCCCGGTGTGACAGGCTGCTCCCGGTCGAAGCCCGTCGCAAACCGTCGCCAGCACGCGGAACGCGACCACAGGAGCACCGCTACCGCTCCGGCCATCGGTATAATCTCCCGGATAATACGAAAAGCCTCTGGTACATCATGCGGAAATGTCCGTCTTCAGTTCTCCACCTACCGTGGTTGTCCTCCGTACCGGACTGTGGTTTACCGTCATGCTTACCGAGCATGTAGACACGTGTCCGCTGGATTGAGCGCAGTTTAAGCCCATTTACCGGCTGCGGCGGTCCTCGTGTGTGGGAATGCTTCTTTCGAGAAATTGGGGGTGCTTGGGGTTGCAGGCTGGGGGCAGGCAGGGTTTAAGCACCTCGAGGAAAGCGTACAGTCGAGCCCCCGACGGAAGGAAGGCTGCGGAAATTGGAAATTTGCCGATTCGACGAGAAGCGCCACGGGAAGGGGAAAGGAGCCGCGTTGAGGTCCGAAGCCGAAGCACCCGAGGCTGCCTCTCGAGGGCCAAGCGAGATGGGAGGCGGCGATGTGTTGCGGGTCCGAGGCTCGCAGCAGCTGCGGCTGCGCTTGGTGCTGGCGACGCTGAGTGGCTCGACTCTCAGAGTCGATGACATTCGCGCGCGGGATGCGGCCCCGGGTCTCAGAGATCACGAAGCCTCTCTTTTACGCTTACTGGAGAAAATTAGCCACGGCTCCTCCGTGGAGATTAATGAAACAGGTCTGTTTCATTCACCCTCGAATCCGATCGCTCTAGTCGCTCGTATTGTCGCTCTCAATTCTCAATTCGGTCCTCCTCCTCCTCCTCCTCCTCCTGACCGCCTCTCTCTCCACTGTCTGTTGAATTCGAGGTTAAATTATGATTTCTGCTTTGCTGATGGTTCTCGTGCATCAATCTTGCGAGCATGTTGCCAGGTACAAAGCTGAAGTACAAACCGGGAATATTAGTTGGGGGTCGGAACCTCGTACACGACTGTGGCTGTAGCCGGTCAATTGGCTACTTTCTGGAGCCGCTTCTTATCCTCGGCCTCTTCGGAAAGACATCTCTCACCATCTCGCTGAAAGGTGCCACACATTTTTCTGTTCTGGAACCATCATTTTCAGAAACTGATTGCATATGTTTTCGAATTTATAATGCTTCAAAATTTGAAGAATCTGACAACAAACTGTCTCATTCAGTCGTGTTTATGGCTTCTAATTTGACGGCTTGTATTCCAAATTGGCAGGTATCACCAACGATGTGACGGATCCCAGTGTGGACGCGTTTAGAAGCACTACTCTTCCAATGCTGAAGCAGTTTGGAGTGCCCACTGAGGATCTGGAGCTGAAAATTATCACCAGGGGGGCTCCTCCACTTGGGGGAGGAGAAGTACGCTTGAAAGTGCCCATGGTTCCCACCAGCCTGTCTGTGAGTATCTTCCGACCTGACCACTGATTGCAGTCCCGGTTTAGCCTAGCATCTTCTTACACTTCTTTCCTTCGGGAATGTCACAGAGTTCATAAGTCTATTGCAGTCCTTGAAGGCCCGAATTGCCTGCAGGCAGCGACCTGGACTGATGAGGGCATGGTGAAGCGGATAAGAGGGGTTGCCTACTCCACACGAGTGTCACCTCAGATGGCCAACCGCATGATCGATTCCGCTCGAGGAATCTTCAACCGTCTGCTGCCCGATGTTTATATATTTACCGATCATTATACTGGCCACGAGTCAGGAAAGTAAGTAGAGATTCCGTCCATGAGTCTGTCACCTTCGTCCACAGACCCAGTAGTTCTTCTGCCAGTCGCTTTGTGATTCTTGTCATGTGGCTAGCTCGGTAGGCTCACGTGGAAAGCTCCAAGGAGATAAACTAGTGTAACAACTTGGACTCGTCCACTTCCATGGATTTCGTTTGGAAAAACTCATGTTTCATCATAATGCCTGTACAGGTCTCCCGGTTATGGCATATCACTGGTAGCTGAGACCACTACAGGGTGTATGCTGAGTTCTGAAAAGGCTGCAACTCCTCTCCATCAAGAAGGTGATGGTGCTGTAGATGCAGATACAGATGCACGTGAACCACAGTTACCTGAGGATATTGGGCTTCAAGCCGCGTTGGTGTTACTGGAGGAAATCAAGCAGGGTGGCGTTGTGGATTCTACACATCAAGTACTGAGCATTTGTTCCAGTTGATGGTGTTCTTTTTTTAGATACCTCTGTTGTTTCATCTTTCTGAGATCCAGCAAGCTTTGTCTCAGCTGCATCGAGCACCTTCCATAGATCTGATGCTTTTGGCTGAATTTCATTGCATGGTTTGGCGTTCGGATCCTCTGTAACAGCTTCTATTTTTGGCTTTCCAGGCCTTGCTCTTCATGTTATGCGCGTTAAGTGCGGAGGATGTTTCCAAAGTACGAGTTGGCAAGCTTTCACCTTATGGCATCCAAACACTGCGACTGATAAAAGAGTTTCTCGGGGTGCAATTCAACATTAAACCCGATCCAGCGAGTGGCACTGTTATTCTTACCTGTGTAGGCAGTGGGTACAAGAACTTCTCGAGGAAAGTATCTTAGGTTTCTCGTCCTAAGTTTGCTCTGGTCATTGGCAACAATTTTTACTGCGGTGAGAGAAAGAGAGAGATAGGTAGATTCACCCCCATCCATGTGCTTTAGTAGAAGAGGAAAACTGAAGAGTGAGGATGGCGAGGTTTCTGTATAAAGTGGTTACGAAAGTTTTGTAGATGCTAGAAATTCTTAGTGTTGAGTGAAAGTCTAGTGCCCTGCTGATTGATTCAGGCCACTGAACAGGTAATTTTCATAGATCTCAATGTATTTTCGATGTCAGATTTTTCCCGTTCTAATCGTCCCTGGAGCTATCATTTGTAACTAGGATGAAGACGGCAAGTGCAGTTTCTTTGGCATGTTTGAGAAGCTGTTGATTCATTACCACGGGTGACTGGTTCACTCCATGAATATCTGTGTGACGATTGATTCGACATGTTAGACCGTTTGGGGCAAGTTGCGATTACTCGTGTGGCCTTTCTCGAAACACGACCAAAACGACCAAAAGCACAATATCTGCATGTTGAAGTACAGTCACCCAAAAGTTTATGTCACAAGAAATCAGAAAGACTGCTATAACTAGAAGTGGAGAACACAATATTGCTCTAGATGTATTTGTGCTATCAATCTGCGAGCACGACCAGACGATCAGATTACATGAATAAGGAATAAACGAAGGTTAGAAATTACCGCAACGGCAACTCGTCCACTCACAACCTAAAAATTATCCAGCTTTAATTTCTCCCTCTAGTTCACGTCCAATTGATTATGAGTACTTATATAACTAAAAAGCATTTATCTGCATTTCAAGGTATTAAGAGCTGGGCATACATCTCAGAATATCATCTAATCCCGTGCCAACAACAACACTTCGAAATCTTCTATCTTCTGGAAACACAGAAGTTGCATAGAAGAGAACAACATGATGCAACACACTTGGTGCATTGTTTCTCAGCTTGCAGCCAAACATCGACGAGTGTCAGTAATGTTTATTCCACTTTATCTAAGCGAGTCACTTGAACAAGTCATCTACGTGTAGCGTTCAGTATGTTACTCAAGTTCCGTTATCCTATACAGAGGTTTGTTGGCATATACTTCTTCTTTTTTTATTTTTTTATCAAGCTTAACCCTTGTCATAAGCGGATGATAACATCTCTATCAAATGTCACTACGTTAACTTGAATGTATAGATCAGTTAAGAATATCAACATTTTTGCCTTATGAACCTTGAAGGTTACTTCATTTCAACATATGTGATATTGATTTTTTTTATAAAGTATTTGATTTTCTCATTTTCTTCAATTTTGTGAGGGTGTTAAGAAATTTTGTACTTGTTATAAGTGAATATACTTAAATTTGCTTACCTTTGATATAAGACACAAGTAGCCCAAGAATCTCGGTATGAAATCCAGTTTCTCTTTCCATTCATCACTGATATATCTACGGATTTTAGCCAAGATGAGACTAGTACTTTATTTCCATTTTATGTATGTGATCTGATATTTACTTTGGATACTTGATATTTTATAAGGTTTCATAATTACATACAGTGAGAGTTATAACTACATTTTGACTTGAAAAAAAAATTCAATTTTTTTCAATAGTTGATATTGTTGGAAATACAACAGATTACATTATTTCAAACAGATGAGTGTCATCTTTTTGGTTTAACAGACGTAGACAAGAATCTTGGTAAATGAAATTATACCTAAAACAATTTGTTTAACTTTATCAGTAAATTTTTAGTAATTTTTGTAATGAATTATAAAATTTACAGAATGTTTTTTAGGTAATTAAATAATATTGCTCTATACAATACATCATCAAATGTTATATACAAAAATAAATCACATTATTATTTTCAATATACTTCTTTATATAAATATTTTTATACTTTAGATGTTGTAGCAAATGTTTAAAATAGGATCTAGCTCCACGTTTTCTGTTCTAGAGCTATGTGATAATCGTATTCTGTGTTTAACCCTTAACTCTCTTTTTCTATCTTTGTCATTGCTTTAGACTTCGACAACCATCCATCAACTTCAATTAATATTTGCTTTATACCACCCAATGAAGGTATTGTTATTCTCAAAACACAAACACAAATCATATCAAACTTCTGCGCGTTGTATTGTTGATAACTGGAGGTGCAGCTAGTATTCAAGTTGAGTATTGAGTTGATTGCAATTAAAGAATGAAGAGTTAGAGGGTTCTAAACGAAATGATATTACTAATAACCCCTGAGGTTGGAATCGGTGGGAACATTAACCTAATCTAAAAGAGATGATAGGAGCATCATGCAGTGATTATATTTTGGATGAAATCATCATCACTTACTGAAAAAGGATCATATCATCGAAACAAGATATGAAATAAAGGTTCACATTCAAACCCCCGGCTGACCTGCAAAGACTCCATTAGGAAGATACAACAAAAAACCATGATGAATTTACAATAGCAATTGACCACATGTTGAGTGATAAGAAGACTATTTCATGAGAAGAACAAGTGCAGAGTTGTAAAGTTTAGAAAATACAGCTTATAAAATTCTAACAAACGGAGGAGTATAAACGAACGCACATTCGCCCATCTGATCTCATAAGTAACGACAAGTAGAGGTTTAAAGATACATGTAATTTGAAATTGCGTTATCTGAATGATAGACTTGGAGAAACTTTATAAGTATGATTGGAAAAGCCTCAATCATACTTTTTTTTTAGATTCCGTGATACAAATAAGGTACGCTACACACTTTTCCCTACCTGACAAAAATGTGGACAAATACTCCTTTGTTGCACAGATGCAATTGATGGGTGCAACCTCATCTAAATGTGGACCCGCTAATGACATCCTCTTCATATTTACAGCACATGTCGAGAGGGATGTCATGGGTCAAAGTCCTTTTAACAAGTCCGACGACCTACTGCCTTCCGCCTCCATTCAACCCTTGTTGGAGCTTGTTGTTAAAGAAAGTCTCCAACCTTGAGATTCAACATAAAGCTCAAAATCAAACTCTAAACGAAGCCAGTACAAACTAGGAAAACTAAATTAGGAAATACGCAAATTACCATTTTAGAACTCAATAAAAGAATTGCAGTACAACCCTCAAGTCTCTCTTACCTATTAGCAGCCTTGTAATATATTGTATCCGGTGAGTTGTAGGTACGTGCATTAGCGAACATACGTCGCATATCCGCCGCAAACATGTCCAGCGTCAGAAAGTACTGCTCGCTTTCCAGTCTCTTATTCGTTGTCTTCAAATCTGCACACGCGGCGGACCGCACAGAAGATAGATATCACTCGTGCTATAGAGGAAGTCTGACTGACGGTCTTAATTAAGTCCTTGCTCTATCCACATGCCTGGTTAGTATCTCCTGAATTAGGTGAAGCGACAAACGTTGCCTAAGAAAGAACAGACTTGTGCGACCAGCTTCGTCTACATGAACTTCCTTACTTTCCTCTATGAATACACTTACCAACAGGATCTTTGATGACTTCATAATAATCAGGCACCTCACGCGCATCTACTGGCTCTTTGAACGGCCAAGCATCTGGGTGATCAATGACCATCTGAACATGTCAAACAATGAACAGATCAGTTACTTTCTCAACAGCCTAACATTTTCAGATAACAAAAATTATGAAGCTCACCAACTTACTTCCGATTGTGTGGGTACGTTTTCCACATAGGTTACTATCAATAGAGAGCACAGATAGCTTTTGATGAGAACAAAATACAAGTCCTTCCCACTACTGAACATATATGAGTGTGATTTGAAAGTTTTACTTTCAGTAGATAACGCATGAAAACATTGAGGGCCTGTCGTGTCGGTGGTGCGTCTGTATTTGCCAGCCGGATTTTAGTCTTGGTCCACTCCTCTGGAGGCCAAGCCGACTCTTCTGTTGATTGACAAACCATTGTCAACATTGGCGATTAAAACTTCAGTATTTCGTCACATTGATGAAACTATTAAATTCGAAAATTAAGTATCTTTGTTTCGATATTCTGAACTCTGTTGTAGCGACAGACTAGGATGTATTCTAGATGCATCACTATTACCTGATGAATCTCGTGGTGTAGCCATATCTTGCTACTAATCTCCTTACCCTCACGTATGTAACACTAAGAATAAAGAAACCTAGATAATACTCCCCTCTATGTATTGAAACCACTCCAGAGTGCTAATTCCACCCCCACCTTCTCTGCAATCCAACACCCTGAAAGAATGACCACTGACTAGGAGTGTATTCTAAGTATGTATACTATTCATGGCTCATACTTGAGCCATGCCTTAACTTGAAAAACTCATCTTAATCATAAGGTGATTGATGACTGAACTGATGACTGAACTGTACTTAAACCCTAACCCCTAACACATGGGTTAGGGTTCATTCATGAAAAACCATGAACTGTACTTAGACTTTAACACATGGGTTAGGGTTTACGTACAGTACAGTCATCAATACCCTCATCAGTCACCTTGAGATTAAGATGAGCTTTTCAAGTTAGGGCATCAGGCTCAAGTTTGAGCCATGGACACTATACATACTTAGAATACACTCCTAGCCAGTTGTCATTCTGTCAGGGTGTTGGATTGCAGAGAAGGGGAATTCATATGTCAGGGTTCATTCATTCACAGTTTATGGGTTTACACATGGGTGTCCATGGCGAACTAAGGGACAGAAACCAAAGGATAGATGAAGAGGGATGATGCGAGAACTTACTAACACCAGGTATGTCCTCAATCCTTATAGGTCTTCGCGGTATTCCTGCCTCTTTCTGCGCACGTAACATCAAGTCAGTAGCAGCTTCCGAACTATCAGGCTGCAAAAAAGTACCCTGGAAAAACTACATGACAACATAAAGAAGAAATAGACGAACTCCGGATAATAAAAAAGGTGTTAGAGACTGAGTTGGCAAGTCCTCTATTAGGATGGAAACAAGGAAACACCTTAGGAACCTCCAGTCCTGGGTACACGACGTGACAATTTGAAAGTTCTCTGATCCTTTCCTCCAGTGCCTGCAATTGAAGAGTACATATATCATCAAAAAGTTCACAAGTACAAGGTTCCTAGCAATTAAGTGGAACTACAAGCAGCTTAAATTGATGATCAGAACTTTTGAAATTGTGGAGCTCGAGTCTAAGTTGGAAGTGGTTAGTACCTGTCGTTGCCTCCGTATCATTGCAGGAAGATCTGTGTAAGGAAATTTAGGGTCAATCTTGCACTCCATCAATGTACCCCCATCATAGTCTTTAATATATCTGCTCCAACAAACACATGTCCAAAGCCAGTTAAAAGAACGAGTTTCAAAGCCAGCTAACAGTCATCCTATTTTAGGAGAGAAATGAGGAGATCTCCTAAGGTGCGTAAGCACTTTTCAGACCCGCAAAGTTTAATCTCTTGCAATGGCCACATGTCTATTACATGAGGATTACATAATGACGACGTTGATATGGCATGAGACTACTCGCAATTGACCTTTAGCATTATTTCACAACTTGAAGACAAACGGAAAAACCTTAAGAAAACTAATCAATTCGGCATCATCATTCTCCAGAGAATGACAATCATACTCTTGGAGGTAATGAAGAATATTTAAAGCTATATCCTTTTCTTATTTCATAAATGACGTACCCGTGCCACCTCTCTTTTTCCATTTCAATCTCCTTCGTAAACCCCTGAACGACCACATGAACGAACCATCAGACTATATGGAAGCTATACGATGATGATCCCAAGACTTCTAACACCCCCGTCTATTTTCGCTTCGTGTTTGCACAATTGTATATACATTGCACTTACTAAAAATCATTCTTGAATTTATTTTCATATAATCAGAAGTTCAACGTAGAGTTCTGCCATACACAGCAAGAGAGAACCTACCTGCTTGTTGAAGTAACCCACGGCATTATTGTCGGCATAGGTCAAGAAATGCGTAAGACCATCCTGGTCTCGTGCATACTGTTTCAAGTGATTCATCAACCTGGTACCATATCCTTTCACTTGCTCATCCGCAGTCACTGCGCAGAAAGCTATTTCCCCAAACTTTTGACTGTTCGCACGGAAACCATTTATGTTAGGTTCTAAAAGATAATTATCCTGAAAGATGTTGAAGGCATCTAGTTCCATGAGCACAAAAAAAATGCTAGATTTGTTATATCCCTTCAAAGTACCTCAAATATGGTCGATATGTGATGCCACCAACAACATTGTTATTCTTGTGGCTGATTATCATCATAGACTTGTGATTCCTGCACGTATCCATTGGTGAAAATTTGACATGATTAGTTCATTAGCAAGAGCAGATCGCTATGAGCATACCTTGTATAAAAGATCAAACACACAGAGCAAATTCTCAACACAATATGAAACACCGAGGATATTTCCAACAGGAAGTTTTTCAGGATGTAAAAACTTACTGGTCCATCACTAATCGAACGATGTACTCTTTGGGCATGTTCGGCAGTTGTCGTGAAAAAATATTCTTCAAGCCTATGAGCCTGATTTTTATGCGTCCAATGCACTCGTTAGTAATCCTTATGACCCGAACATTCTTGATCACCTTTGGCTGCAGGAATTTGCAAGAGATGTTCAAAAATGTGGAGACCACAACAGACAAGTTGAATTCAGAACTGAGTCGGCAAAACTGAAGGGTGAAGTACGCACCATTTCATGTGCTCTTCGTCACCATCGTTAAAGTGACAAACAAATTTGATCTTACCAGCATCTTCCTGCAGATCCATGACTCAAATGTAAATTTGATAGTTCGTGGCGAGCACCAGGGCTTTTCCACACAATATACATCTAGATCGTAGTGATGTAGTGTCTTAAGCGCAGCAGGATAGTGCATTTGATGGGGAAAAGGATGTTCATACATTTCACGCAGTACCTCGTACAAGCAGATGTATATTCACAGCACAAGCACCGCTGGAATAACCCCACTCTATATGTATGTGTTCTTGATAAATGATATGTATGTGTCTTCACGTGACTTAAAAGTACAAGGAGACGTACAGGTGTTCACACCAGGAAAGAGAGGAGAGGACGGTAAGCAGAAGTGTGCAGGAAGAGAGGTGTTCACACCAGGAAAGACAGGAGAGACCGGTAAGCAGAAGTGTGCAGGAAGACAGGTATTCACACCAGGAAAGACAGGAGAGACCGGTAAGCAGAAGTGTGCAGGAAGACGAAACCAAGAAATAGACTCCTCGCTTTTGCCTGGCCTATTCACGGTAAACAGAACTGTATAATGAGAAACTGAAACTAGAAACGGCATGCATGTATTGAGCACGGCATGTATTCACGGCGCAAGAGGAAGGGATAAAGTAAGTACCAAAGGATCCTCGACAAATGTGCAGTAATTACATTCTGGCAGCAATTCGATTCAAATGGGTGAGCTCATCAAAGATGTACAGGTAGGAACAATACTGTGAATAATACCTCAATACTTGACATAACCATTACAGAATCCACGGAAATTATCAGCTTGATAATTTGTCCATGGAGGAACTATATGCTTCCTCCTTCCCTTAAAGAGAATATCAGAAGAAAGATAAGGAAGATAAGGAAAAACAAAATAAATTATAGACGTGAATTGAGGTATGTATATCTGAACAAGACATTAAAACAGAGAGCGACAAAATAACATGAAGCGTGGCTTCTTAAAAGAAAGAATAGGTTAAAGTAGAGAGACAGAGGTAGATCAAATAAGTACAGAAGTTCAAGCATAAGAAAAACGAGAGACGGAATCACAGATATGAAGAAAGATAATTCGTAGATTCAGCCCAATGTGATGTCACAAGTCCATTCATAAATCATCTCAGGTTCCGGTAGAGAAAATAAGAGCAAGCTTTACTAAATGAGTCCATCATCCCACACAACGGCGTTTGAAACTCCAACAAATGTGCATTACAATTATTCTCAATTCTTTCACAAATTCGCAAGTAATCAAAGAACCAGTCTTCATGCAATAGAGGAAACCAATGAATGCAGGAAAAAAGAGGCTAACATCGGGGAAGACAAAAGGTCAAGGAGGAAATGAACAGAATTGTCTAATAGAGCACAGCACTTGGCGACAACGAAGATACAGAAATTTATTCCGTCTCATCACACATGGAACTCAGGACTTTCACAGCGAACAAATGTGACGCTATGCGACCAAAACATGTGGAGTGCAGCAGAATCTGCTCGATATCGTAAAGCAGACATTATCGTGCTGTTCTTCAACCCCAGGTCAAAGCAATGAAGTCAACCTGACAAAAACGTACAAACTTATTTCCACAAATACTTGCACTCAGATGTATCTTAGGGACGTGAGAAAATGCAAATTTAACCCACTGCACCAGTGGAAGATGGCAAGACATGCACAAGCTTGAACAGACTTTTACATGTATCATTCACATATTAGCTGCACAAGGATTTTATACTTCTCTTTTGAGATCCGCTTCACGACTGCAGTACGCTCCGATGGTCTGGATGGAGTCCGGCAGAGGGCTAGATTTGCCCAGCTCGCCTGGAACAGAGGTGATTGGTGCCGGAGGATTGGATACAGTAGGACCAGAAGTTGTATAACCGGCTTCTCTTGATCCTTCCGTTGTGGGCTCAGCCTTAACATTAGCCAGCTGCGTGAGCGGCACCGGCCTAGTGGATTGTGGCTCTACCCTTGGTTTAGAGGAATGCGTCGCAGCATCCTCTGCTTCATCATCATCGTCATCTCCATCCTCTTCTTGATCGTCATCATCCTCATCGAAGCTGCTGCCGTTCATACTTTCAAACTGAGAGTGATTCTGGCTACTTTTCAAGAGCCCCGGATCGTGCTCATCGTGTTGGGAATTCATGTGTAGGTCCGCTTGTTCATGATTGGTCGTCCCAAGCGATGAAGAATAAGGCTTATTGAACTGGTGAGCGTAAGATGGAATTCCAGAGGACGCCGTGAGCTCGTCAGTACGCTTTCTTTTCTGGCTGGAATTACTCACAGAAACGGACGCTGAGGCAGAAGGAGAAGGGGAAGGAGAAGGGGTGAGTGACTCAGAATTTTGTGAAAGCATTGTGCCTGCTTTCGTACTCTCATGTACGTTCTTTCATTCTCATATGAGCTTCAGCTATCAACAAGGCTTTCCTCCGCACTTTCTCAACAACCATAATTCGAATATCGAGCTGAATTCGCTGTGACACAAGGAAAAACAAAATGTAACGAAAAGTAACTAATTAGATGGCTGAGAGATCATCTCCAGTGCTTTTGTCTCCGAAAGAAAGTGAACTTGGACTCGTTACCAACGAACAGCAATCTATAAATCAAGCTAACCACCATGACCTGTGAGCAAATTGAAATTATCTCTAACCAATATTTCCAAGAAAAAAGAATCACGCGTTGCGATACTCTTGTGGTTCATAGAGCTCAAGTAAATGCACTCTTGTGATTGAGGAGGTTTCAGAAGTCGTTCCACCAACACTCATCCACGGCCATATTATGGCTATCCTCGGTCAAATGCCGTGAATTGGCGTGACTGGCGATGCTACTATGACATGATCTTACACAAACCACATCTGACCATGAGGTGATCTTAAATGTAGAACCACGTGTATACGCCTGAGTATTATCCAGAACCCAAAGATATAAGAGGTCTACTATATAGATTGAGTATGTAAGAAACCAATGCATTTTTATATCGATGGCAACAAATGAAAAAGCAAAAACCTGGACGGATGAGTGAGGTATGGACCGGCAAGGATGAATGCAACATCTCCCCGAAGCAAAGACTAACTTCCTCTCCTTCACCTTGCTTGCGAAAGAGGATAAAATTGGGCATGATGGTCGAGAAAAGCTCCGCTCTTTCTCGATCATCGTGTCCAAATTTATCCTCTTTCGCAAGCAGAAAAAGCGGAACTTTTCAGACTGAGTACAAGTGCCAATAACGAGTACAAGTATTTAGATTACAAGAATTGAGAAGCTAGGAGCATCAGCGACTACTACTGGGGAGAGAAAATATAGCAGGAAATTTGTTTAAGAGTTCTTCGCGCGAGAACTTGTTGAACGCAAACTTGAGTGTTGAGGCAGTACCCTCGTGTTGCTACTGCCGCGAGAGAGTATAAAATTGGACAAGATGAGTGAGAGGGTCCGAATTCTTCGGACTTCGAATGGGTGAGCGTGAGAATGGCCCAAAGATATATTTGCATATATCAATAGTCTACGTACAGAACAGAGTCTGAGAGTAAGTTGAACTCAACAACACAAGCGGGATCTAGCTCTCCATTGGGGCTGAATGCTACTGCAAAAATTAAAGAAACTGAGAGTAAGTTGAACTCAAAAACACAAGCGGGATCTAGCTCTCCATTGGGGCTGAATGGTACTGCAAAAATTGAAGAAACGTGATGTGAACATCCAGAAAGTTAGACTCGGGACTCTCACCTGAGTACGTACAGTTGGCTAAAAGGTATCTCTAGGATAAACCCCTCCCCCGAGAGCTGTTGTAAGTACATATAACCATAAACCCACGAATTCGAGGGAGGGAGTGGTGTTGAGGCTGGTGAAGTGAGTCTTGGGACGGCTTTTTCAACGGGAGAGATGATAGATACCAATCCTATCTCAATTGCCTTGGGTAAAGACTACTGCTGAGTGATATGTAGTGCGTGTATAAGGCAATTGAGCATCCAACTGCAGAGCAGATAGATGCTCAATTGCAGAAAAGGATGAAGGACTACACGTGGCTTAAACATCCATAAACCAAAGTTTCCAAAGAGTTTAACAAGAGCCTTCTTTGTCCCAAAACCAGCATTGAAAATTGGCGTTAACAAGTTCTTCGGTACTCACTGCAGGGTGTAATGCTGACATGAACGTATCAAACCGAGAGCAAGGATCCCTCGAGACCAGAGGCCTGTTAAACTCATTAAGTTCATGGGTAATATATCCTTCATATATCGCAAGATATCACTGCGACTAATTTGTCTGACATTCGTTGAAACACATAAGAAAAAGCAACACAGATATATACATGCAGATACACGTGCACTAGGTTTCAAGACCATTAGTTTGAAAACTGGATTTATAAACAATACACAACCTAAACCCTGTCCACTCTCAAGAATCACAACTACATTCAGAAATTAAAACTTGTGACCGCTCGGTGAATGTCCTAATGATTAACTCACATGTAATTCATCTACATCCCGTCCACATGTTCGAATTTTACTTCGCCTGACGATGAACCGAAGCACCAAGCTCCTCTTGGTCTGCTGAAAATGCTTCGAAAAATCAGAACAGCAGCGCCATAAAATAATGGACCTCAGAGAGCGTTCAAATCGGAAGAAGAGGAGCCGCTATGACATTAAGCTCGAGCTGACGCAGCACGAGAATCCACAACGAAGAAGGAGACAAGTCCAGCCACCGCAGCAGGCACACCGATCGATCTTCTTCACGGAAAAATCAACCCAATCTGTCTGCATGAAACTGACCTGCAATGACTCAGTCACTCCAGCGGGAAATGCAGGCGCAGGTACGATCGTACCAGTTCGAAGAAATGTCAACACCTTCAGAATTTGAGGCTGCAGGAAATTGACACAGAATAAATCGGAACATTACAGAACATGGCGCGAACCACGACTTCACTGCAACCACGACTGCGACGACTGCGACGACCACAGTCCAGCACTGCGACGAGTTCAAAACCACAACTTGGAAATCAAACGCTCCATACGCTCCCAACGGAAGAGCTCGAGTCCACGGGCCCCGAACCAGCGGGACGAAGCTCGCCGATCCCCACTACTCTGGAGTTCGGACCGTCGGCTCCTTCCGGTCCCGCCAATTGTCCGGCCTTCGCCTTCCTTTGAGGCAGCCCCCTCCGTCGTTCGGTCACCGGCCCCATGCAGTTCCCGTTGCTCCGTGGCGGGGTGTCTGGAGGCTACCCGGCGGGTAGTACCCGCCCTCTAAGTCGAGGGTTCGTTTCCTGGATATAATTCGTGGGTCTGGGTACTTGTTCACTAATAAGGTCACAGGTTTATATTTTTAGTTCACAGGTTTCGGTTGGTGACAGTTTCGCCTTGCAATCTTTTGCGCTCTTCGTACCGGAAGCAACCGGGAGGTTTAGGCAGACTGCACTCGCATGCATATTCCGTCCATCATACCCATCACTCTAGGTGGAATCTAAGAATTGGAATACCAGTTTGTTAACTCCACCACGGTGGTTCCCAAGAGATGAAAGATATCATGAATCTCAGTTTTGAGAAACTAGAGCACCAATTGTATTAGCATCAAGTATGAATATAACCCGTTTAGTAGTGAAATTATGAATCCAAACATGGAATGGACTAGTATATTGCATCTACCATACATGAAAGATATGGATCAAACAGTGTTTTTCATATAATTCGATAAGATGATGACATAACTCAATGAGTAGTATTCGTGCAAGGAATCACCAAAGACAAGACAATCCCAAACTTCAGAGTTTATTTTATCAAAGCCAAAGAAGTACTCATCGGTGTATTAAAGTGGTTCAGCAACTTTGGACTATAGATATGACTGGGATATTTTAGGTTGGAATTACTCATAAATCATTGATAGTCTGTTTAAAGGCCAGGTTTGGATCAACCTTGTATGATTATCCTGTTCACTCAGATTCAACACATATATGCTTTGATCTTGGAATTTTCAATAAGAAATTCGAGTATGAAACAATCTATTTAGATATATTAAATGGATTAAATAGAGCATTCATTAGGTAATGAAGTTATTAGATCAAATTGAAAGTGAAATAAAACATGAATAACATACATGTTTCTTGTGAAGTTGTTAAAAGTTGAATCAGGCTTTCTGAACTGCTATTAATTATAATATCGTTAGTGGTACTCGGAGAAGCTTATCATAACATATGAGAGTTTTTCATGGCTCTAAGCTAACTTAGAGTTATTTGTATTACTTTTGATGTTTACATTTTTAATTTATTTGTTTGTGAATTAAACTTTGATGTGTTTTTTTAATAGAAACGTAAATAATTGGTATCAGAGCAAATAAATTAAATTTCCTTCAAATTTGAAGTAAACCTCTTCACTCAAACAATGACAAGAGTCAAATCAATTAATGAAATCAAAAAATCATTTTGAAGGTCGGAGTAGGAGGCGGTGGATTGCAACGAGGAAACTAATAGATTTGTCAAGGAGAAAATGCGAGTGCTTAGAGGAAGAAGTACAAGAAATAGGAGGAGTGTACAATGGTTGAAAGCAACGAGAAAAGCTCTGACACCATTATGCTTTGTTAGTTTTTTCCTCTCGATATGGTTTTTTATAGTAAGCAGTAATCCATATGTTGGTCAATTTTGCCAAATATATTTTTTCTACACTCTCTCTATAGGTACATATATGGTTGCTTTGAATTATCATTTCCATCAACATAGGTTTTTTCCCGTCTATCTGGTTGGAGGGAGGTCAGTAACGGGAAAAGTGACTATCAGAGACACGTCTAAGTAATTTCAAGGAAGATTGTCTCCCCATTTCCAGATTTTATGAAATATCAAAAATCAAAACTTGATTCGACATAAACTTTTAAGACAATGAAAGTAAAGTCACATGATTAGAATCTGAAGATAAGATACAGAAAATGAATGAGATGAATGTGGAGTTTGCTAACAAGTAATCTAGCATCTGTGTATGTTTGTGAATAAAAATTGTTCTTGGTTTTTTTTCTTCTTTTTTCTATACATATAGAACCTCATCTTCTTTATTTCCACAAAATTAATACTGTAAATATTCAAGGGGTGAAAAAAAACAACATTAGTAACGGATGTGTTTTGATTTACACTTGGATCTCACTCTGTGACGTAGTAACACAATTACTAGCTGAAAGGGCTGAAGGAGAAAATTGTGGGTGGAGCAGATTGTACGATTGTTGCTGGATTAGTAGATCTAAAATGATCAAGTGTGTTGCTACCAATATGTCCAAAGATATGCAAATTATTAACATAAATCGCTTGAAATGATGGAATAACCTACTACAAATAGATCAAAAAGTGTGACAAATTGCTAGTACAAAGATACTTAAACTAGTGAAATGTATACATGACTAGTGAGAATATATTGCTCCGAAGATGCTTAGATTTGTGGGAAGAAAATGCTACAAAGACGACTAGACTAGTTTTAATATATCATTACAACTATGTTTAGGCCAATGGATAAAAACTGCTACAGATTTGTTTAGACTAGTGTCGATATATTTTAGAAAGAAGCTTAGACAAGTAAACTATCACTACTACACGAAGCGCTTGCAATCACAAAAGGATGTGTCAAATCTAGCAATCTTCCTACATACGCACGCGAATTGTCCAGCTATGCCTTTACACATTATTCCCGCCTTCGAAGTTGGATGTTCAGGCATGAATTTACTGTTAACACGATCACTTACACTTGAGTGTTAGATCTGAATTCTTTCAGTAACCTTTCTCAATCTTTCTCATTTATCTCTTTCTCACATGATCTCTTTCAATTCGTGCCAACTTCCACGACCATTCTGGCTCTGTCCACATTCATAGATCTAGTATCGGGATCGGAGGAAATCACATGATGGGACCCCTTGGATTCAATCGTGTTGAAGGGACCCAAGAGGTTCCGTTTCATCCGTTGGGGCCCAAATCGACGATCAAGCCTTGTTCTTATAACCTACTGATTCACTCTATAGAGTGTGGGGAATGTCCCCACTGTCGGGACGGAGTATTTTGGCGAGTCGTTCGCAAAGTACCTAAAAAAACGACAGGCACCATCTGTCTTGATTACTCCGCATTTGGTCTTGCCGAGACATCATGTTCACTCGAAATAACCACAGATAGTTTTAGAACATCACTGACGGTGGGAATGCTAGGCCGTCGATGGGGTCCCATCGGGTAAAATGAAACCTAAGGGGTCCCATCAAGTGTTTTGAGTTTCCCCGGGGTCCCATCGAGAAATTTCCTCATCGGGATCGGGATTCTTTCATGATTACTCCTGTACGCACAAACAAATTTCTCCTGTGAAAGATACTATTTGGGCTTGACTTCGTCCAACACCTTCGGTTGATGGTTTCATCCCTGTAGGCTTGCCAAGGTCAACCCAGAAATTTTGCTGTATTACTTAGGTTTAAATTCGTACCCGACAGCCATGAGAGTATTATCTGTTGATTGTATACTCGGGGATCCAAAAAGCAAATCATTGCGCTATGCATACAGTGGGAGCTCAAGAAACAAAACTGAGTTTGATGACCCTTCTTTACATTTGATCAAATTACAGCCACACCTTAGCACTAGGAAAGATAACAGAATTCATTCATATTCAAGGCTACTCAAAACTTGGTAAATTTCCGAAATGCAAAAGAGGTAACTGCGATTGACCTAAGATTTAGCCGACAGGCTCACAACAGATGTTGATAATGTTACAATCAACATTGAAGTACGATTGCAAGTCCCTTTGAAGCGATTCTAGCAAACGGATAGTCCGAAAAAAGTGGCTATCGAGGTGTCTGCTTCTGGCACTTGACGTGTCTCTCGAGTGGATGGATACAATACATTGCTCCCTGATGTTGCGTTTGTCAAGACGTAGCAGTATTACCACGTCGAAAACGAAGATAATGAGCATCACTCACGGCCAAAACTAGCGATGTACACAAGACGATGGCAAAAACCATACGCAGATCTCCTGTTGACACCAGCCCACGAATCAGCTCGAGAAACTCAGATACTCATTACCGTCTTCAAAACTCGCAAGAATGAAAACGCGGGACGAAGTTGGAGACTTACCGGATAGAAGACCGTATCTTCAACGCCGGTAGGGGGCGTACTGAGGAGAAGATGAGCGGTCCCGTTGGTGACCTCGGTACGGTGAGTATCGAGGCGACCTGTCGCGGCCTCCGGAATAAGGAGCGTACTCAGGAGAATGCCGAGAGTTCCTCGCATCTCGTCGAAATCCACCTCCACGGCCTCCTCTTCTGTTTGACTGCATGGCTGCTAGAAGCAGTGGAAAAAACACACGTGAGCAGCAGAATTTCGAAGGACAAATGGATGCGACGACTTCCACTTCGAGACAGATGTATCTCAGAGGCAGAGATGAAAACGACGCAGTTAATGATGACACACCTCTCACACCTAAGTATTCTCCAGGAGTGGGTGTTCTTGCACGCTTCCTTTTGGCCTGCAATTAGAAGATATAGAAGTCAGAAAAAGCTTGAAGAATGATCGCATCTTGGTTTCCCATAATGTTGGAACTCCAACCTCCACCTGAATATGATAGACGAGCTATAGATGAAAGAACAAGCATGCAAGACGAATGCAGGAGTACCAGAAAGGTAGCTGATAGATTCGACAAGGCATGTGTAGCACCTAAATCTCGACGGATGCAGCTAGTACCACAGGCCATCAACAGGCGTTAAACAGGCCTCGAAACCGAAGCAGCTCCCAACAAAAAGGTCGAAGGTTCAAGTTGTTGGCACGTGTCAACAGCCGTATAAGATTAGCTCTCGATTATGGTTGAAATTCGTTGCTAAAACGAAAAGAAAATTACGGCCCGACAGAACCCTGCATGCTGTAGTTGGTCTCCCTTGGTTGGGACTATCGAGTTTTGATTCTGCTGGTCGCATAGTGAGGATGAAGAGACGATTTGAGCCAGTTATTGAAAAGCTGGCCTAAGTCAGTTTGCGTCTGCTCATGCTGAAGCGGATGCACTGTGGGAAGTGCCCTGCAACAGGTTTGGCAATATACTGTTGACATTCAAAGTTGCTCCGCTTGCAACAGGCCAGGCTGCCGCATCAGCTTGACAATTCTGAGACTCAATTATTTGCCGAAAAAAAAGTTCTTGGCGGTCCGCAAAAAAGTGGGGGACGTCATATTTCTGGATGACCAAAAGGTCAACGATCCAGTTAGCAATATCCAGCCAATACTTCCATTACCGTTAGCTTTAAACTTTCACTCAACCAAAGTACAGCAAAGGTAGTGGGCAGTAGCGGAACCAAAGAGCGCTGCCTTCACGTACCACATCTTTCAGAGCATACCTTTTCAACGGTGATCATCCGCCCTTCCAGAGTTGACCGGTTGAGGTACTTAATGCAACGCTCCGCATCCTCCAAATGCTCCATTGTCACAAATCCAAATCCTCGAGATTCGCGAGTACGTGGATCCAATACCAGACGGCACTCCAAAACCTGACGCAGGAGACACAATTTGGATAATGTGTACGTGTCCAAGAAGTTCTCTCATCTCAAGAATGGGAATTAAGTAACCATCGATTGACGCTACCAGGCTGGAAGGTCGCTCTGCGAACGCACCTTTCCCTCTCTGGAGAAGTGCTCCTCCAAATCCTTCTCATTGACGCGTGTGGACAATCCAGTAACGTAAAGATTGTTTCCTGGGTTCAGAGCATCGTGCCTAAACCTGTTTGACAACCACAAGATACAAGGAGATAAGAAATAACGGATGAAGACACCTGCATAGCAAATTCAAAGAGTCCTTTATTGAGCTAACAGAAACAGTCCCTCATACTTTTTAAACCGAAACAGGAGTAAAAGAGGCTCGAAAACTATGACCAGATTTAAGGCTTCAGCAGAAAACATGCACCATCCTAATAGGCAGTCTCCCGGTTTCCAAGGCACGTGAATATGACGGGAGTCTCTGACGATCATTGACGCGCAACACGCAAACAACGCCACCTTTCCATAATCGAAAATTCTTGAAATGCAGTCATGAGGTATGCTTACCGACGAGAAGGACTTCGGGATCTAGATCGCTCAACTCTTTCCCTGGGAGGTGGAGACCTGAAAACAAACATTTTGTATGCATACAAAGTACACGCTTACATTAGAGTCCCAGCAACACTTGAATGTACGGGCAAAACCGTTAGTAAGGGAAGAAAAAACTCTGTAGACCTGCTGACAATATTTTTACTCCACAAACTCCATGACAGTTTCCCCTACCTACATTGTCAAATACCCTACCTTCCCTCTTATTCCGCCACTTAAATTTTCCTTTTGTTCAAAAAAATTGACACTACACACACTCCCTGATGAATTCCCCTTTCTAAGTTGTCGAATGCCCTAATTTATGTCTTCTTCAACCTCAGGAATTTCCTCTTTATCCAGAAGATACTCTCCTCGACAACTGTAATAAAATGGAGCCTCTTTTAAAACTAAAATTAAATTACTAACAAGCAAAGCGGGTAACCATTGAAAAATAAATTGCAACTCTCAGGCTTCTTTTGAACTAGAAATGCGATTTACATAATCATGAATGTGTCTTCAACAAATGCTTAATTATAAGCATTGCAGTAGAGCGACATTGCTACAATTTAAAATGAGGGAAAGAAGCTCGCCCGAAGCGTATAGCACAAATGACATTCCATATGTTCACCAGATTCTATTCTGATAGGTTGCGGACAGAAAAGCGTCTTACCTTCGGGACGGACTACGAGACCGTGAGCGCTCGGTTCTCTCCCTCGGTGAAGGCGATCTTGAATACCTGTCCGATCTTTAATGACAAAGACGATCGCGTCAAACTCCAGAGAGCACGCAACGAGCATGAAATATAGTTGCATGGGTCTGAAAACGGGGCAAGTCTTCATAATGACGTCATCAACGTCAGCCCTAAGCTAACTCGCTCATCTATAAATAAATAAGGTGACCTGCCCGTACTCACTCAGTCTCTGGACTTATAACAGACGAACCCTAACAGACGGTATGGCCAATTGAAAGTACACATTCGGAAAGGTAAGAAACAGCACAGTACCTATGGCGAGGAGAATCGGCCTGTAGAACCAAACACAGACAAGCACATGCAACAAAAGTTTGGTCAGTGTTTCAAAGAACTGCCTCGGTATTGTCAGTTCATACCACCTGGTGGGCAATAGCAGACCACATCCAGTGTACCTTTCATTCCTTCAAGAACTTGCGCGGGAATAGACACAGCTCATAGGACAGCAGAAGTTTCCGTTACAAAAATGTCTACAAGAAAGAACTGTATGCGCCAGACACAGGCTTCGAAGTCTAAGCAAACTGTGATGAATTTAGAAGGTAGCGGTTTGACACGGGAGTTCCCACATCTGTAAAGAACTGATATCCAACGGCAAAAACCGGCCGGAGAATACAGTACTGGCTAACCCCAGCAAGAAAAAACGCGACACAGTCTACTAAACTCCTTTGCAAGCTCTCATGCTCGTCATTTCTCTCAAACATTCCAATCGGTGAACGAGACAATGACATCAAGAAATCAGATCTGACATACGTGGGTATAAAAGAAAAGTATTAAAGAAAAACTGCCACAAGTGCAGCAGACCTTCAGCCACGAAAAAAGGTGAAACTAGAGAAAATAAGCGTTCATTGTCTCAGCACGAGAGAAAGGGTGATTTGAAGTCATTACTACGACACCCAGGGCAACGTACACCACGAGGCAAAGAGAAACGAAGCAACTAGGCGCAGCGTGAAAGTTCACATCTGCTTGCTGTGAACCACTGAACTCACCATGATACTGGCGACCGACCACGAGGACAGCTGTGACACGAGATAGGTCGGAAAAAGGCTCGCGCACTCGCGCACTCTAAAACACGACGAACGATGAGCACGAAGCAACCGCGACTCCTACGACGGCGAGGGCGAGGACGCACTCCCGGAAGAACGAACGAACGAGCAAAAGGTTCGTTAGGCGAGGGGCGCTGGGCTTCGAGAAAGTGGACGAAAGAAGCGCGGGGGGTAGGAGCCGCAAGAGGGAGGAGCGTGCAACAGAAATACACGACGACGTTAGTGACCAATTGAGTGGGAAGGAAGAAAGACAGCAGCAGTGGCAGCAGCAGCCGCCCCGGAAAGCGTCGTAACAAATTCCATGAGTGTGAATGTGAGCGTGCGTTAGCAGCGTTACTCTTCGGGCCCGGAGCGCGAACACCTCGGTAACTCCGATACAGGAGCAAGTTGTTCTTGTAATACGATGAATGACATTTCTCCTACCCTATCGAGAGCTTGCACGATACACTCTGTCTCCGCTCTCTCTGCTACACTGTCACAATGTTTAGCGACTTAGGGTAGCGATTCAACTCCGAGCTCTTATAAAAGACGTGCTTGTATTTTCGCCTGTGGTGCCGACGATCTTGAAGCTTACTACTGCTCCTGGAACGAGACTATTTTGGCCCCGCTACTAACACTCCCGGCTACTCCAGTCGTAGGGATCCGACACACATATCCGTTTTGTTTATTTTTCAAATGATTTTCATGCTTAATTTACTCGCGCTTACATTAATTTTCCGTGTTCAATGACAGGTTTGGCGTTAATTAACCTGTTGGAAAATTCGGCTATCGGTAACAGCCAGACGTAGAGAGATATGCATGGAACAGTTTGACTGACACGGTAAAGCAACATGAATTCCCGAGAGATTTGAAGACCATCAAGTCTTGGGCTACGTGATTCATTTATTGTTGTGTTCGAAAACTTCCAAGTCATCACAAATTTAGTGGTTATTGTATTAACCTCCTCAATACAAATAGAAATAAAACTCAATGAGATTCATTCATTACCTCCAAGGCGTCATCACTATTTCTTGTTTATTGTATTCAACTCGTCAATACAAATGCAAACATATCATTAGAATATCAAAATATGGTAAATATGTTAATGTGATTAATCTACAATAGTGATGTACACTAAATTGTTAGAATTTGAAGCAACTTGTCAATAAAAATTTCCCATTTGCAATAAACCCTTGAGCACAATTTTCAAACAAATACTACACCTATTCATATAAGACTTTGGTTGTATACATGTTCTGCAATTGAATATAATTTCATCCTCAAAACATGAACAAAACGTGAAGAATCACAACATAACAAAAATATAAGTTGATGCAACTTGAATCTATACATTTTTTAGATACATTTAAAATATGAATTAAATTTTATTCAATCTAAATTATAACTAAAACATGCAAAAGATTCATGTTCAAGAAATTCAAAACTGTAATATGATGGTGTGAATAACGTAACTTTCAAATATATGTCTTTTGTTATTTTATTGTTTTCAAATCAAAAATCAAATAACTTAATTTGATTGAAACAAAATCAAAATAATATTAACAAGTAAAATTTGCAAACAACTTCTAAAAAACATACTACTAATTAACCCACAAACAAATATTTACAAGATTTGCAATAATCTATAACTCAATTTCAAACCATAATTCAAGAAAAACATGAAAAAATAAATCTACGATTGTTTTGTATGACTGATTACTTTATTGTAGTACAATGTTTCATTTACCAAACTTATAATATTTTTTTTATAATCAACACATTTATTTATGTATTCTTCATAGTATATTAATCAATTTAACATAAACATCTTAAGGTTTAAAATCCTAAAAGATTTAATCTTAAAACTTTCATTTCTTGAATTTTCAGCATTCTTTTCTACAAAATACATATCAAGATACAACAATATATGATCATTCCTATAATTAACATTTTTACTTTACAAAATATAATTTATTCCCATGTTTATTAACATTGTATATATAATCATTGTGATTACAGGTTGATAAAATTAATTTTATTACATTTATATAAGAATGATAATATGAGTAATTCTGCTCAATTCATGATTTTATCATCAAACAATTATAAAAACTAAATAGTAATCATGTTCATCTCAAGGTAAAAGAATTTTCATGAAATTTCCTTGCATATAATATTGTTACATAATAACTACACAACTTGATGATTAAATTCAAGTCTGTATGAGAATAATTGTTGTAATTATACAAATAACAAACTAATAAATGATTAGAATCAAAATTATGCGAAGCATATTTTACAAGTATGCAAACTAAATAAAATATGATTGTTTAGTAATATATTCGAACAAATTTCAAAAATTATTTACAATTATTTTATTTGTTTAAATGTGATTTTGTATTAAAATTGAAATCAACGAAAATAATAATTATTATTTATGTATAATAATACATCGTGATTTAAAAAAATATATAGAAACAAAAATTAAAATTTTGTAAATCAACATTGTATTCTACAACTAAACATATATCATAAATGTTATACCATTGTGTTTTTTATATATTTGTTAACCTCATACATTCATTTTTTAATTATTTCAAGTGTATTGAATATGTTGGTTTGTATATGCACTGTTGTGACAATCTCGGAATTTTAATTTTATAGCAAAAATGAGCAAAATGCATAGTATAAGGTTAGCAAACTATGTTTTAAGTTGATATTCATTGTTTTTAACGTACCTCATTTGTTTATAATGTCATTCAAAAAAACAAAAAATATAATTTACATTACATAACATAGATGTATTTTTTTTATCCTCTATGTGTTGAAAGAATATACAAGTAGCATATCTTCAACAAAAAAATTCATAATTATAATCAAGCAAGATATCATAATCTTGTATTGTTTTTCAAACTTTTTTATCAAGAAATTTTGATTGATATATCACGAAAATATCTTGAAAGTGTACAATATTGCCATATTTTCAAGAGAAAAAAGTTCCAGATCTTGATACATAAAAGTATAGTTTATATTTATCTTTTGATGATTATTTTGAAAAGCAGTTTTACCATTTTTAAAAATTCCATGTTATATTTGATAAAATTGATTACAAGTGTATCATATTAAATTTTACTTATTCTATCTATCTATTTATTTAGCCTATTTCCGTAAACTAGCAAGTGTTTATAATACTTTTATCACAATTTAACTAGAACAAAGCATTTTAATAAATTTATTCAATAAAATTATATCCATGCATTAATAAAATACAAGAAAAAATTCAAGAAATGATAAACAAACATGGTTATCATTAATCTCCTCTCCAGTTAATTTAAAATCAAAACAAACAATATAAATGTCATTAAAGTAAAATATTTATAAGAAGGTTAATTTTATATCTATTTGAAAATCAGCATAATTTTATTGTAATTAAATGAAAAAATTTAAAGTCTATTCAAGCTTCAAATTTTTGTTTGAATATCTTAAAATATGAATATTATATATATGAAAAATCATAATTAAAATTTTATAAAGGATTTCAGATTGATATGATTTGCTTGTTGATTATATTTACAGCTTCAAGAAGTACAAAATAAAATGCCTAGTATCATTTTTTGTAAGTCAATTGTCTAAAAAAATTTCAAATTTATTTTGATCAATATAAAGAATAAATAGGAATATTCAAAAGAGATAAACTGCTTACTTGTTTCCAAATTAGTTTTGACTTTTTTCTGAATCAAAGGTAAATTATCAAAATTTATTATCTTAAATTTCAACATTTTTTAACACGTTGAATGAAAGATTTGACTTTATATTTAAGATTGATATTGCAACAAAATTTCATCACACATTATTTTGTATATCACATTCATCAATTATAAAATAGATATGTTAACATAAAAATGATGTTCATATAAAATATTCCATTGACAATTAAGATTTGTGGTGATTGTTTTCAATTTAATTTGTCAATTTATCAACTTATCAATTAATTTTGGAAATTTTTAAAAAATAAATATCGAGTTACAAAAATATGCAGTGAGCAATTTTTTTTCAGAAATAAATTCAAAAAAAACATGATAATTTTGTTGCACCACTTTCATTGAATTTTTACCTACAAAATATGATTTTTTCATAAATTTTTTTTTAGAAAAAATTGCTTTTTTTCATATTTTTGTACAGATTTTTTAATTCAAATTTTTAATTTATTAAATAATTTGAAATTTTTTTTAAAATATTTTGCTGATGAAATTTCAAAAGAAAATATTAAATTAAAAAATTTGTGAAAAATAAATTGCAATTTCAAAATATAAAATTCAAATCTTATTAAATCATCAAATTCAAATTTAAATGTTAATTATAAACATTTTGGCGGTTTAAATTCTATGAAGTAAGTAAAACGTTGTTTTTTATTATATTTTCAATTCACAATCATTAATTCTAAGTTCATGTTTTATTACAGATGAAATCTTTACAAATATTTTTCAAATCATTTAAAATTGTTTATTGATATTAAAATCTTGTTAGAAATGACTTTTATCAAAATTCATATACAATGTTAATTTTACGTCATGTATTTAGTCACGGTTTAATTTATCCCTTGCATAATGGCAATTGAAACGTTTGAATTAGGGTTGGCACCTTCAGGTTTATTAAGTGTTTTTGAAAAAAAATTAAACTGTCGTTATGAATGGGCAAAAATATGTTTGGAAATTTGAAATTGAGTCTGAAGTTTAAGATCAAAATTGAAAGTATTGCGCTTTTGAAATATGTTAGGAATAACGAACAAGTGTGACTCTAAATATAGAGATTTATGACATAGAGGCTAGGAAATTTGTTTATTTTTTTAATCTATCGAATGATTGAAACAAACATGAAGCAAAGAAGTAAGAGAGAAAAGCCAATGACATGTGAAAAGCATTCATTAGCAATATGGAGAGTGCCAACTTCAAGTGAAATTCGGAAAAAAATGAAAGTGTGATGATTTATCCTAATAGTTGTGCTCCATTCAAGAAATCAGTGAATGACATGAACTTCATCGATCAACCTAAATGATATAAAGCTTTGAAGAAACGTCTGATTCTATCATTTTCATCAAAGACAACAAGACAAAAATTGAATAGTAAATTGTAAATGTGATAGTTTTTGTTATAAATGATCAACGGCTCACGTAAGAAGTTTCAAAAAGTCATTATTTATCATTAAGATTGCATAAAGACATAGTTTAAACACGTGAAGATACAAACTATATTACGACTTGATGAAAAAATTTTGCATGGAAGAGTTTTGCCAAAATGATATCAAAGCTCTGAAAGAGTTGCAACTCATCCTTTTGGCTATTCATTTGAGCACCTTTTACTTTCTGGCGCAAAGTGTAAAGATATTATCAAATTCTTTGATAATCATCATGAGC